CATTTACGTTATAGCCACACTGTGTTATACACGTTTACTGAAGCGCAGTTATATTGCCCTTGAGTAGCGTAACCAGTTAACACGCTCAGCTGCTAACTGAAAGTTGGTACGTTCAGTTTCTCCCAGAGGTGCCTCAGAAGAAAGGCTTAGCAATATACTTCTGAAGAATCAACCATTAAAAATCCTGTGGAGCACAGTTTTATTCTGACACACATGGGGTTGCCATGAGTCATAATTGACTTCATGGCAACCTGTATAATTGTTAAATGATTTATTATTGTTGCTCTGATTCTCATTTACTTGATGTAAGAAGCTCCTTGGTGATAGTGTTTCCTTTCTTATAGAACTATCTTTGCATTTATTTTTGTTGCGTGATTTTTCTTGAGACGTAGAAGAATGCTGAATTTATTTCTGAAAAATATACTCTTGTAAGATGAAACTTTAATTGTATAGATATATATTGGTTTCCATTTAATTATCGTCATTGACATTTAGCTGTAAATGTAAAAGTTTAAGTAAAAACTTGAAACACAAATTATTCTTTTTTAGGGTAAGAATGAAAAAATATTCCTATGTGGATTATTTTTACTTTGTCATATAAACTATTTACTAAATTATATTTATTTTGAAATAATTTTATTTTTCAAAATTAAACTAAATGAAATTCTAAACAATTAAAAATATTTATTTTGTGTGACTCAGGATGTTTGGCAAATAAGCAGAGGCATTATTATAATAAAAATGGAGTAATTCCAGGCCAGTTAATACTCTGTAATGCTGAGGAATGCCATTTGTTTGAGAAGATTTTTCTTGTGCCTTTGGTTTTAGAAATGGACCTGTTGTACTTTTGACTTAATTATCTTAGGTTTTCAAATGTCTATGAACCAGTATTACTCAGTTCTTATTTTTGTAAAAAGAGTTTTTGATTGGTGGTGGTGGTGGTGCTGTCGGTGATCCATATACATTGTTCTAAACAGAGTGCTGTTATTTTAAGTTCAGTCAATAGAGAATTCAGAATTCTAACCTGTTTTCATTTAGTTGCATGTATTAGCTGGAGGTTCAACATGAACAAGATAAAATTCTTCTCATTGGATTTGAAGCTCTAATCAGGGAGAATAGAAAGTAAGCAAATAACTGTATTATGTCTTGCAGCATATAATATTCCTCACTGTTGTACTTTCTCGATATCATGAAAAAACTTCACAGTTTGCATTTACGTTATAAAACTCTGTCAAAAAGCTCTGTTTTGTTTTACCACTTCTCTGGAATGTGATTTGTCTGAGTTAGGCAGTTCCTTTATTAGGATTGGGATAGTGTAACACAACAGATATGGAATAATGTATATGGCACATTCTGAAGATTCCATTTTATAAAAGATATTTTATAATCTCATCTTCAGCTATTAAAGGGAGAGAGATTCTTACATGTAAAAAACAAGCAAAATGATGTATCACTTTTAAAGTGCTGTTCTTGGTCATGAATGGATCCTAAAAATTTAGTTTCTTTTCCCTAATGGCTTGGACCTGTACTTCTCTAAAAACCACTCATTATTTTTGTCTAAAAGCTTATTATGTACTCACCTGCATGTATACCATGCTAGGAACTTGTTGACTGAGGGTTTGCCCTTTAAGTATTTTGCAATTCAAGACACAAAGAGGAGAGAAACACAGATGAATCTATAGAAAGCACAAAATTAATGAATGAAGATGTACTAAATGCAAATAATAGAAGAAAATTATAATTAAATATTGAATTAAATATTGAATATTGAATTATAATTAAATATTGAATATTGAAAATCACAGAATTTTCATATATCAACATATATATCAACACCTGGGAAAAGTGATGGATGAAGTGAGGTGTCAGAAATTGCTCAAATGAAGGAAAGAAAAGTACTTGGCAAAAATGATGTCTGAGGTGTACGTTACATAGGTTAAAGTCAATGGGGTGCGCAGGTCAGCCCTCTGATTTTATGCCTCTCACATGAGGAATGTAGAATGCTTCCAAGGAATGCCTTTGTGATTCTTCAGTTTTAAAATGTAACAACCGCTAATTAAGAACAGCCTTAGAGAGTATCTCCCTTTGTCTGAAAATTCACTGTTTCTTGGTATATTTCAAGTGTGCAAGTGTAGAAATGAATGTGTTTTGCACTGTAGGCCCATGTTACCAATGCACAGTGAACTTAGCAAGATGTGCAGGTTGTGGGAGGGTGGCTGTGCATCTTTGAGAGCAGGTGTCTGTGCATTACCTGTGTATTAACTCAGGAGTGACAGCCACAGTGCAGAACACTCTGGATGCATAGTGATCATACAAAGGGAGTGAAGTAATGGATGTGAATGGTAGTATGGTTTACTTGGCAGCTTTAACTTGGAACCAGCCAAATCCTAGTGGTTATACTTTATTCCTCTGGCATTCTTGAAAATTCTCCTTAGGTGTTCTATGGAATAAGTTAGATACTTTCTTCATTGACAAAAATAAATATATCCATGAATAAATAAAGACTAAATCTTTAATTGTCTTACCACTTATTTAGTTCCAAGTAAAGTTGAACCTTCTTTTTGAATGAATTTGTGGGGAGAAAATCTCACATGTAATTACCAACTACCTAAACTATTTTATATACGACTTCTTTATATATCTTATTTGTACTTTCCTATTTATGTATTTTTATGGCAGAAAGTGCTTTTATTTTTTGTTTAGAACTGAATGAGATCAGTTTTGAATAAAAATATATCTAATATTGAATAAAATGCACTGTAATGATATTCTTATAAATTGATATAAAAAGCTTACATCCAAAAAATACAGTAATAAAATAATTTCTGACATTTAAGAACTTTATTAACATGGTGATGAATGGGACATCAAAGGAATTTTTTCTCATGTGGCTATAAGTGTGACTTGAAGACTTTTTTTTTTTTTACACTTCTAGATATAATTCAATAAAATGCATTTATGCTAATAATCTAAAATTAGTTAGCTTTTAGCAATAAGCCCTTATTTTTCCATAAAATGTTAGATGAGGTTTGCTTTTCATTTCCTTTAGAAGTACTCCCTCTTTTGATTTTCAGCAAAGTGAAAGAGTAGGGGGAATTACCCAGCTGAAATTCTCTATCATTGAAGGTAAATAATCAGCCACAACAGGTGTTGATTTCCAAAACTGGCCATTCTTGACTCATAATAAAGTGGTTCTTTGGAAATTTATAAATCTTTGGAAGTAGCAACAGTCAAGTATTAAAATATTCCTCATACTGAAGTGGCCATTGAATATTTAGTCAAAAAGTTTGCTTTGTGCTTTTTCTTTTATACAGTTTATGCTAGAATTGCATACAAAAAAAAGTTTCATTATGAATGAAAGTATTTTAGGGCATAGAAGGGATTATGTATTTCTCTTTTCATTTTTAGTAGACCACATCTGGTCTTTGAGTTAAATTGGTGTCCTTTTTGCAGTCCATCTGTTTCCCTGCTGTCATTTGGACAGTAAATCTTCGAGGTTAACCCACGGTCCGTGAAACCCTCAGCGTCTAACTGCGTTCTCTAGGCAGTGACATTGGACCTTGGGTTATTGCGTCACTGTGCTTTCATCTCACCGTAAACTTTCATTTGAATTCCAAGGTCACTCAAACAAACAAGAAATTTCATTTGAATTCCAAGGTCACTCAAACAAACAAGAATTCAAAGATTGGTATTGGAAAAATTCTTCAAAGAAGGATAAGAATATACTTTTGAAAGTCTTTGGAGAGATTTTTCTTTGATTTCTGAACTTCCTTGAGACTCAGATATATGGTTGAAACTTAAAAATTTTAAGGTTTTTCAAAATATCTTTTTGTAATGGGATCAAAGAAAAACCCAGAAAGTTGTTTTCATTCTAACTAATGAGGAATCAAAATGAAAAAAGTTCTTTCAGTCTTGATGACTTCATATACCAAAGGCCTCTTGCTCTCCCTACAGAAGGTGCTTCAAAATTGCAGTCCTTGGGTTTGGGGTTTTTTTTGTTTTTTGTTTTTATTTGTTTGTTTTTAAATGAAACATGTTTCTCAGAGGTTCATGATGATTAACAAAAAGCTTTGGATCTACATGTAACTCAGTGTCCTGCAAACTGTTGGTTCTCCCAGAGTTGCTGAGGAGGGAGGATTTGTGCATTTCTGTTAGCGTTTTTCATTGGCATTAGTAAGGATTAGATTAAACTCCTGTAGCAACAAATATGAAAAACAGTGGTTTTTTGTTTTTCCTTTTTGTTTATTTTGTTTTTTAGGCTTTATGGATGAGTAAAATGCTTGAAAATTTCTTTAGCTATTAGATGATTGTTTTACCCATTTCATTCTTTTGTTTCAAGCCAGGGATAAAAACAGTATATTCTGTTTTCAAAGATATTTAACAATAAGTTATCCTATTATCTGCTTCTAATTATTATAGTCATTTTCAATTCTTAGTTGTTCTTGGCATGGGGAGTTGAAACACCTAGTAATTGTGATTATAACTTCAGGGGAAAGAATTAAGATCCACTGAATTAAATTGGATATTTTTTTCAACCATAGGTGATATCCACAAGAGATTAAATGCTTGACCCTTGTATAAAGACTTCATTATTACATCAAACTACTACACATATATTTTTATCACCTTAATTTACCCATTTAAGTTAAATTTGAACAAAATGCTAATATTTTAATAGCTTTGCTTTAACTAATTGTGTGTATTGCATTTCCCTTTGTAACTCCAAAACCTTTTTGTTTTATTCGACAGGTCACCAGTTTTCCTTATTATACCATTTACAATTATAAGTATGAAATTATTGTATGGAGAGAGTCTTAATAAAAGATTGAGAATTCCATTCATGTCTGTTTAGTGTGAGAACAGCTCCTCTGATGTTTCCCTGTAATTGAAAAATGAACATAAGTGACAAAGTAGCTGGTTTTATTTGAGTGTGTCACATCAGACTCACCTGTTTTGAATTATTATGCTTAAACTAGACTGGATTTTTTTTTCCCCGGTAGGTGTACTGGTCCTTTAGCAAGTTCCGTTTCAGAGAAAGCAAGAGACCTAGTAGAGGAAGATGACAATGAATACAAGGTTCCTTCATCCCATCCCGTGTCCCTGAATTCACAACCATCTCATTGTCATAATGTAAAACCTCCTGTTAGGTAAGGATTGGGCAGCTTTTTATCGCCTTACATCTGCATAAGCATCATTTGTGTGTGTGTTTTTTTTAAGTGATTGAATCACATCTATTTAACTTTCATTTTTTAATTGCTGTTAACAGCTTTATCTTCCTATATGCTGTATTCTGTGTTCCTATTTTCTGTCTTACTTTCAGAGAAAACGAAAGGATGTAGACTTCCCATTAATCAGAAAGTTATTTGACTGAATTAGTTAACTAATAAGTAGAATAGAACATTCTGTTGCCCAAAAACACTAATTATGTGCTAATAAAATTTTGTTATAGGTTACATATAGTGACTATTAATTCATGTGTTTTCAATAAGCTATTTAATGCTTTCTGTCTATTCTGAGCATGTATCTCATGAAGAAAAATTACTGCTTAGAAACTCTAAGGTATTATGTGAACCTTCCTCGGAATTTTTTTTCATGATGTAAAACCTAGTATAATTTATATTCATTTCCTCTCTTGATATGCTGCCTACTTCTATTCAGATCTTGGAGAAGTTAAAAAAAAAAAAAATCCAAAGAAGTTGTTTCCCTTAACTTTTTTTTTAAATCAGGTGCTGTTTATCTTTTACTGTAATCATTTTTTTTCTGTGTGTTGTTCGTTTATACTGAATATAATGGGGACACCCTAGCTCTTTGAAGTGACGGCCACATTTAGGTATAAAAGAGATATTAAAAATGTGCATTGAAACATTAGCTCATCTTTAAGTAAAAGGATGACATATAATTAGTATGTTATAATCTAATATTTTTTCTAATCTGACTGACATATGTGAGGTATTCAGTAAGTCATATCCCAGCTCCAAAACTTAACTTTTTAAGCTTCATTTTTTTTTTTTCTGTAACATCCCTGGTGCTGTGCTTGGCACTTAGAATAGGGCACAACCACTGCTGGTGGCCCAGCCTTCCTGCCTTCCAGTGTCTCTTGACTGAGAGTAGGAGAGCATTGAACACTTCAGTCAGTGACATCATCTTTACTTACTATGCCATTTCCTTATGAAGTCAGGTCAATCTGCTGAAAGCATTTTATAAAAGTGAACTATTCTCTTCATTTTACATGAAAAAACTAAAAATGTTTTAATGTCTTTTTTCAAGTATCTCACTGAGATAGAAGATGTAATACTTGAAAAAGATAAGCAAACATTCATTTTAACCAGTCTGTCTTAATGAATGAATTGGATTAGAATGATCAGCTCTTTGCTGAATTATTAACTAGACCTATTAATATTCTCAAGTCCGGGGCTTCATATCACAAAACAAAAAGCAAAGCACTTTTTGCTACTCACTGGTGTCTAAGACTTCTGTTGACAAAAGAGTATCATTGAAGACACAAATAACTGGGAGCCATTTTGTTGTGTCAGATGAACAAAGTTTCTACTAATCTATTAGAGAAAGAAATGTATTCCTTCCCGTCAAATATAGATCGTTACAATTTTCAGTTCCCTTTGGCTCTTACAAATGTGTAGTAATTTTACAAAACTGAAATAAGATGACCTTTTTTGGTCTCCTTGGGATTCTCATTTTTTTCATTGCTGAAGAATTGAAGGGTATAATTTTAATACTTTAAATTTTAATTGTCACATCATAGTAGATGAGATTTTTGGTGTCAGGCCTCCCAAATCCTAAAAATAAATTTGAATTATGACTACCATTACCATCTTCCCACTGTTAGAAGTAATAAATGTTGATAATCCCTAAACTTAATTGGAGTGAATCCCTTATGTAATTTGTTCTTGAAAGCTGATGGGTGAAGTATTGTCTTATGGCCTTTCCAAAGCACTCTTTCAGCTTAATGTGCCCTCTCCCTTTTTCCTTTGGCATGTCACGGGAAGTAAATTGTCAATATGTGGGAAAATTGAAACAATAGATGAATAATTCAATTCAGTTTCAGTAAAAATCCAGCATTATTATGAAAATTCAATACTTGATAACTATTTTTAAATGAACCATCCTCTGGCCCCTTAAAGAGAAGTGGCCACCAGAGACAATGGAAGTGAATTTCAGATGAAGCATTTTTGCAATAACTATTTAAATATCCACCATCTCCTCCATTATGCATGTACTTTTAGTTTGCTCTAAGAATTCAGAGTAAATCAGAGAAAAGTAAAATGTAAACTTTGCTTCCCATAGGTCTTTGTGAGCAGAGGAACTTTCCCAGGGTTCATTGTTACACAGCTGTAGCTATATGCTGAAGACAAAATATGTTGTTTCTTCCGTTCCTGCTGCTGTCTTCCCATGCCCCAGTTTTATCTTTTTTGCTCATAGTATGATTCCAAAATATTAATGCCAACAAGAAAAATAATTTTTTAGTAAACGTGACTCTTTCGGATACCCAGATTAAAATACTTGTCATGCTGGAGTATGTACCCTGGGTCTTTGCTGAAGTCATTTTCCTACAATGGCAGTTACACATCCAGGGTTGTTTTCTTCACAGCGGTGGTGGAATTGGACCATAGGCTCTGGTTCTTAGCATATGCCTGTCAGACATATACTGAAATTACTTCTTTTATGGGCTCTAGCTTATTTTTGTTACAAAAAACCCTGTTGCCACCGAATTTATTCCAACTCATAGCGACCCTATAGGATAGAGTAGAACTGCCCTATAGAGTTTCCAGGGAGCGCCTTGTGGATTACAACTGACAACATCTTTTGCTACAAGAAAAGCTTAAAATACGGAAACAAAAATATAGCAGTAAATATCATTAACAAATCATGAAATTGATGGGACTGTGACACCTTTTTGCCTTGATACATGTTTTCTTCCCCCACTTCAAAAACGTGACAAGGTATTATTGAACTCTTCCAAAAAGATATATTTATTTCTCAGATGTGTTTAAGGTACTTTTTTTTGGAGGGGGGTGGCCCTTATAATTCTTGTTTTCAATTTAAAAAAGAAACTATCTTTTATGGAAAGAATATGTAGATATCATTACTTGTACTTTTTCCAGTAAAGGACACTAACTATTTATAGTCAACCTTTATTATTGTATGGCATTACTGTATGGCCAGGGCTCCAAGTTCTCTCTACCTCCTCGCATGAGTTTTAAATGGAAAGTAATTATCCATATATAATTTTTGTCCTTTTATCTATGCTTTAGGTCTTGTGATAATGGTCATTGTACATTGAATGGAACACATGGTACCCCTTCAGAGATGAAGAAATCAAACATCCCTGAATTAGGCATCTATTTAAAGGGTATGTATAGAATATGTTCTTACATGTTTTCTGTATCTTAATGGTGAGAATTTAAAGGCAAAAGTCCATCGCATTGTTGTACTGAAAATACATTAAGGTTTTGTGTTATCCTCTAGGAGATGTTTTTGATTCAGCCTCTGATCCAGTGCCATTGCCACCTGCCAGGCCTCCAACTCGGGACAATCCAAAGCATGGTTCTTCACTCAACAGGACGCCCTCTGATTATGATCTTCTCATCCATCCATTAGGTTGAAATCTTTAAAAAATTTGAAACAAAACAACCCTGCCTTTCAATTAAGAACTGAATGATCAGAATTCAGAGTTTATTGTAATGCAGACTCACTGGACTGAGGATTTGCCAGAAATTAAAATGGGTTCTCCATGTGCTGGTTGGTCTCAGGTTCATTTGGCCATTATCCCATTTAGATGATTAAAACAGTGGTGTAAATAGCTGGCCATCAGTCAGAGTTTTATGTAGTTGTCTCTTCATGTACTAAATGCAGTCTATAAAAACACATAAGAGCATTGTTCCTTCCCCAGGGTGCTTGAATTCTAGTAGTTTCCAAGTGATGGTTTGAAGTGTTCCTCTGAGATTGTCTTAAAGTATAATTCTTAATGAACAGGAACTTCTTTTTCTCTCAGTTCAAAAGGACACAGTTCCATGTAAGTTAGTTGTGAAAAATTATAATGATTGTAAAAAACTGAGGATAATTTCTGTCTTATCCTAATCATTGCATCTATAGCACGTTGAATGAATCTCATTTTTTATTCCAAATTATAATATAAAGAAGTATACTGATGTGTGTGTACACATGTGAAGGCACACACAGATGTGTACAGATGTTAAAATTGGCTGATGCCAGTGTCAGCATTTATTTCCTGAATTCCAGGTAGGAAGCTTCTGACCCTATTTTTAGAAGAGAACAATTAGAAACATTACATTTGTTAAAGTTTCACAGTAACAAGTTACCATACAAAAAAATAATGTATGATGTAGGCTCATCTGAAAGCTTATCTGAATTGGTTATTGCATCACCAGAAATATGAAATGAATCTTTCTATTTTTTCCACACACAACTGAATAGTGTTTGAGTTATACCCTTACAATATCTTTGCTCCAGTTCTCTTTGTAGCCATTTTTTAAAATTACTTCTAAATAGATTAATTAAAAGAGCTTCCTAACTTTCTTCTTTAACTCTAGTGTTTTTCTCTCTGTACTTTATCCTGTTAGTTAGTTCTTGGCCTGGTACCCTAGGGTTCATGATCTAGATTAGCACTGACCTGTAAAACTTACACTATGGTGATGTAAAGGATCTATATATTCACATATGCCTATTGAGCTGGTAGGCAAATGCAGCTGTGGAACTAAATCGTAATTTCAATAGCCTTATGTGATTAGGGGCTACCATGTTGGACAACACAAACAAATGTTCCAAACTATTTTTTTAACTTGACCTTCCTCTAGCTCTTGCATATCTCATGCTTTGTTCATACCATGCACCTGCTTAGAAGACACCACCTTGCACTTGATGAATAAATGTTTTTGAGTCCCCTGATATCCCAGGCCTTCGTGTTCAACCGATCAGCACCTCAGTGAATGTCATTTTCTGTTTTTCTCTTCCATCTTCCAATGCATATCTTTTTTTTTTTTTTAAATGTACTTCAGGTGAAGGTTTACAGAACGAATAGTTTCTCATTAAACAGTCAGTACACATATTGTTTTATGACATTGGTTAACAACCACACTACATGTCAACACTGTCCTTAGTCAACCTTGGGTTCCCTATCACCAGCTTTCCTGTCCCCTTCTGCCTTCTAGTCCTTGTCCCTGGACTGCTGTGCCGCATTAGTCCCATTTTGTTTTATGGGGCTATCCAATCCCTGGCTGAACGGCGAACCTCGGAAGTGACTTCATCACTGAGCTAAAAGGGTGTCTGGGGGGCGATACTATCAGGGTTTCTGCAGTCTCTTTCAGGCCAGTAAATCTTGTCTTTTTTGTGTGTGTTAGAATTTTGTTCTACATCCTTCTCTAGCTCTGTCCAGAACCCTCTGTTGTGATCCCAGTCAGAGCAGTCAGTGGTGGTAGCCGGGCACCATCTAGCTGTACTGGACTCAGTCTG